GGAGGGGGAGGGAGGGGAGGGAGGGCAGGGGCACAGAGAGAGTGGGCTGGAGCAGAGACCAGACTGGAACACTGCAGCCCCCTCCTGAGTCCTGAATGGCCAGGGCAGAGCGGGGGAGGAGGCAGAGGCTGGGCGGCAGGGCTGAGTGAGGGAGGCAGGAGGAAGAGGGAGGCAAGACTTGAGTCAGGGGGCGCCTGCCTGGCTCAGTTGGTTGAACAGCTTGATTTCGGCTCAGGTCCTGATCTCAGGGTTGTGAGCTCGAGCCCCAAGACAGGCCCTGTGCGCAGCGAGGAGTTGGCTTGGGATTCTCCACTTCCCTCTCTCTCGAAAATAAATAAATCAGTGTTTTTAAAAAAGAAGGTAACGGTCATTTTGGCTCTTTGGCGGAGATGAAGGGTGCATTATGGGAGCCCCTCCCTCCTCTGGGGCTCTCCTGTAAGGGGTCTGCTGATGCATGTTCCCGGGGACGGCGGGGCACCTGTGGGCAGGGCGCGTCCCCGCCCGGGGGGCGGCTCCAGGAGGCAGGGCGCACGGGCCTCAGCAGGCTCCCGCCATCCCAGCGTGGGCAGAGGGGCCTGTGAGGAGGACGGCGTGGGACAGAAGGGGGCAAGCAGCCGTGGGTGTGACTTCCACGGGGTCACTGCAGAGCAAATCCATGACTCAGACTTCCGCCTTCAAATGTGCCAAGTCCTGAGTCACAGCTGAGGGCAGCTAGATTCCTGGGTCCCCTCTGACTAGCTCCTACTCCCCAGGAGGGGTGGCAGGGGCAGGGTCTCCTGCCACCCGCCGCCCGGTTCACGACGAGCAGGAGCACGGGAGTGGGCAGAGAAAGGCGTGGCCAGGCCGGTGAACCTGCCAACTCGTCTGCAGGTTTGTCCTCCACACCCGTCCTCCCTCCGCTCTAGCATCAGTGGTGGGGCCGAGTCTCGGAGGGAAGCCTGGGCGGCTTACACAGGATTCTGTCTCTGCAACAGGCTCCATGGAACAACTGGTTTGAAAGCAAGGTGTTTCAGGGAGAAGCTCATCTTCTAAACCTGACCAGAAGCAGACGTCCGCGGAGCCTCCTTCCAGAGCGACTCAGAACGTGCCCCCACGTTCCCTTTGCAGTTCAAAAAGCATGTCTCCTGAGGACGTGGGGGGAGCTCAGTGTCCCCAGCAGACGTCCTACAGCTTTCAGCTATTTGTCCCAAACTCAGGAAGGGTCTGCGGAGCGAGTGCAGGTGATCTGTCCTGACACGGGGCTCCTACCAAGTGGTCTTGGGGGCCCTGCGTGCCCCTAGATGCCTGTGGAGCCAGAAGGCTTCCACGACTGGCCCTAAGGGTGCAGCCAGGTCCAGTTCTGGAGACTGAGGGTCGACAGCTTTCTCTGTCACCGTCGTCATGATGCTCCTTAGGGAAAGATGCCGGACTTTGACAGATTGGCTTTGGTGGCCGGAACCCCTCCAACACACCAGGTCTGGGCCAACAACGTCAAGTTGCTCAGACAATTACATACCCTGCCTAATGGTTGATAATTACACCGTTTCTGGGACTGCCAGGAGAAAACAATGATTAAGACTATTTACAGCCGTGCGCACACACATCCCTCCCTCCCTCCCCTCTGGCAGCCTCGCTGGGCCCAGGTGTCCATGGCAACCGCACGGGGAGCCCTACCTGGAGTGCCGCTCGGCTGTAACCACCGGGAGGGGCGCCGGCGGGAGGCAGGGGAGGGGGAGGGCGGCTCGCACCGTGAAACCCTGGCAAGAATGACTCAGCTAGAAAAGTCGCATTTGCTAGAAGAATGCCACTAAGTTCTTCCCTGGGGCGGACCCCCAGGGAGGCCACGGACTTGAACCTGGGTGAGAACACTGACAATGAACGCACAGTCCCTGAACACGGAGAGGTACGGATTTACGCAACAGGGTTTTAGGAAGAGAGAAGATGAAGGGCCTGTACTGTGTTTTTAATAATGGGAGGGGGTACGGCCCTCCCCATCCTCCGTTCTTCCGCTTTGACTCTACGTCACTCCAGGAGAACAGCCCTGGCCGAGGTGCTGCACCACCCAGGAGCAAACCCCCTGCCAAAGACCCCCCCGCCCCGCCCCCGCCAAGGAGCAGGCGTGGGGCCGGGGGTCCTGGCTCCGGCCGCTCGGTCAGAAAACAGTTCGGGAGACTCGGGGGAGCCGGCTCCCTGTGGGGCTCATCCACCCCCACCCCCCAGCCTGAGAGCTGGTCCTGAGGCACAGAGCCTGGCGCCGAGACGGGAAGGCTTTGGTCTTCCGGCAGCATTTCACTACTTTCTGGAAGGATCATTGCCTGGTTCCTGGTGGCACCTGGAGTCCGACCAGACGCCTTTGTTCTAAGGCCTTCCACTCACCCACTTTCCTGGGCCGGGGATAAGCCTCTGCTTAACTGCTGTTCCAGGCCGGCTGGCTTCGGTGGGAAGGGGCTTTGGGGGGCAGAGGGGAGGGCCATGTCCAGGCGGGAGATGGCAGTGCTGGGCTCTCCTGCTCGGGGCCCCTGACCCTAGAGCCTCCTCTGCTCCGGGGGGCCCGCACTCAGCTGCCTGGTCACCGAGATCAGTGCCAGAAGGCCCCTGGGCTGGGGGGCGGTGGGGGCGGGCAGCCCCCATTCCAGGTGAGGCTTTAGTGGCCTTTTCGCTGCAGAAAGGAATTGTTCAGAGGGAAAAGTCAAAGGGGCACCAAAAGGAAAGATATCAACCCAAGTGTGGGGGTTGCAGAGGGGCTCCCCTGGGGAGGGCCGTGGTGTCCACAGGGGGCCCCAGAGCCGAGCGGCAGGCCTGTGCACCCCCACATCCCACCCCCGCCGTCCTTGGCCTCACTGAGAGCTCTCTCCTCTGAGTTTTGGGGTCCCAGAGGGGGTCTGCCGGCCCCACAGGGAAGCGAGGCCCAGCCCCGCGTCATGGGGCCGGTGCAGGAGCGGCAGTGGCTTGGGGCTCCTCACTGCTGTCCACGGTCACCGGCAGCCCGTGAGGAGCTCAGGGCAGGCCCTCCATCCCCGCTCTACCAGCGGCCACAGGCTCAGGGCCCTGCCCAGTCCCCCCGGCCTGGACTTCCAGTTAAACTTTCTCAGACGGTCCCAGGCCTGGAGGGGGACCATTCAGGGCAAGCCCTGATGCCTACTGGGGCGAGCTTACACAGGCGGGTGGGCTGGGTGGGGGTGCCGGTTCAGAGCAGGCCAGCCTTGCCTAGCCCATTTTGGGGGGCCGTGAAGGAGCCATTAACTCTCCGGAACCGGGACCCATTCCTGTGTTAGAAGAGGCACTAAGCCCGTGAGAGGCATCTGCCTCCCCCTGCGCAGCGCGGGGTGTGTGGTAGCTGCCGGGCGGGCCCCTCTGTGCTGCTTGCAGCCCTGGAGGGAGGGGACGCCGGGCAGGGTCAGGTACTCACCATGATACCGGTGAGTAGACAGACGCCCTTCCCACAGTATGTGTGGGGCACCATGTCCCCGTAACCGATGGACAGGAATGTGATAGAGATGAGCCACATGGCGCCCAGGAAGTTACTGGTGACGTCCTGCTGGTCATGGTACCTGCCGAGGGGGAGACAAGGCTTAGTGGAGGCAACCGCCGGCCCTGGGGGTCAAGGCTGTGGGCAAACCCAGACCGGGAAGGACATGGGTCTTTGCTGAGGTGCCAGTGACCGAAGGCACCCCGACTCTGCCCGTCCGGTGCCTGGGGCCACCCCGGCCCCCACCTCCTCCAGCTCGCCCCCAGAGGCGCACCACGCTGTAGACGCCCTCCGAGAGCTGGTACAAGAGCTTTGGATGAAATCATGCAGGAGTAAAATTTAGATGTTCCCTTCCCAGTGACAACCTGAGTGTGTGTGGATATGATTGATCTGAAATCACAGGCCTCTGAACAGGGGAGAATGTCCAAAAAAATCACCAACACATTTAGCAGTTTCCTCTACGAAGGTTGAAGAATCCCAGAGAAGGGGCTCCTGTGCAGGGCGCAGAGGGAGGCTGTCGCCACGGGGTCTCGGGGCTGTTTGCCGGGGCACTGGCGTCCTCCTGTGGAGCTGGACGGGGCTCTGGGCTCCCTGCCGGGGGGGGGGGGCTCTGGAATGGTACTGCCCCCGTCCACTCTGCCCGGGGCCCACTGCGCCCCGTCCTTGCCCTGCCTCCTCTCATGCCCAGACACCAAGCCCGCTGTGTGCCAGGCTCTGTGCCAAGTGCTGACATACAGACCAACGGGACACAGCCCCCCTGCCCCCAGGGCTCTCAACTCAGGGGAGGGCCAGTGAGGATGCAGACATTTGCAGAATTGGGTGCACAAGGTGCCTCTCAATCAGGAGAGAAAGGGCAGTGACCTTGACCCAAACACAGGCAGGTTGGTCAGAGGCTGGAGTTTCCAGGCTGGCCAGGAGGAAGGGTGTTCAGGCAGAGGGAACGCCCTCATGAATGCCCGGGGCTGGGCTCACGGGTGGCAGGGGTCCGGGGCGCCCTTGGGGTGGCAGGGCAGGCGGAGGTGAGTCCTTTCTCAGAATGTTCGCTAACAGGATCCGCCGGAACCACACACGAGGGACTCTACGGCACAGAGGTGAGGTAGCCAGGTGGGAAGCAGGTGGAAGGGGCCGGGAGGGCGGTGCAGGTGACCGCCCTCATCACCCGCCTGAGCCTGCAGGTGACCGCCCTCATCACCCGCCTGAGCCTGC